CACACACACACACACACACACACACACAAACTTCAGTAAAATGAAAGAGTTTTAATATGAGCTACTATGGAGTGGACTTCCCCCATATTGTTCCGGAAGGCTGGGCAGTAAATTCTGGTTGTTCTGCCTCTAAGTCTGCTGGAAGAAGCCGAGTGAGGCACTGGAGCACTCACACTGCAGATATTATAGAAATTTACAGTAAATGTAGGTACACGATTGCAGCACGCTGCCCTATTGATTATGCAGATTGTGATCAATCTTCTCCCCCTCTCCCATTTCCCAAGCTTTTTTCCAAGGACCTCCAAATAAGTTGGTCCGTAACCAGCTATTTGCCCAAAGTAAAGGGTAAAAGTAATTTTTTAAAAAAACATAATAAATCCTCAATTGTCCCCACTGAAAGGGCCCGAGAGTCTTTTTTTAATTCCAAAGTGAATTTATGTTCTGTAATTTGCATTACAGCCAAGCGATCACCGTATGTCATATTCTTCTTCAAAGGTACTTAACAAACCCCCTTTTAAAAGTCACTGGAACTGCAGGCCAGAAAAAGGCAATCAGCCTCCTTCTTCCACATAGTCCTTAGATCAAGTTTCAATAATTGAGACCAATAAAAATTGTCATATTTACCCTACTTCAAAGCGACGAGGGGGGAAAAGTTAAGACTGCGTGATTTTGAAAGCACTTGCAATCAAAGAATTTGCCAGTCGAAGGAATTGCACACATTTCACAAAAGTCAGATTCTGGACAACAGATTAACTCACAAACTAAAATACAGGTATAGATATATATATTTTAAGGGCTCCATGAGAAGCCTAGGAGCACTGAGTCCATACACAATCTAAATACGCTGCCTAAAATACACTTAGATCTACACTCCAATAGATAGGCAAAAGGATGTACATTAAAACGCATAATATAAAATTCAGGAACGTGGTTTTTGTATCTAATGAAGCCGGGTGAGAGGTGAGAGTGAGGAATCCAACGTAAACAATCCCAGATTCGCGTGAGCAAAAGAAAAAAAAAAGAAAGAAAGAAAGAAAGAAAGAATCCTCCGATCTGCTGTCTCTCAACTCAGCTGGTCAGGGAAGGCCGGCCAGGCTCTCTCTGGCCCTGGCCAGCTGCGCAGCCCGAGCCCCTGGGAGCCCCTAGTGTCCAGGGCAGAGACCCCTCTGCGCGCTCGCGGCGCTGCCGCTGGGGCCAGGCGGAGAGCGCTCAGGTGGAGAACCGCGCGGCCGCCTCGCCCCCTCCCGGCTCCGGGACGGCGATCGAGCTCCCGCAGCCCCGGCAAGTCCG